GAACATATAAAACAAGTTTCTTGGGAGGAATTTTTCGTGTCAACATATTTTTCTTCAGGATTTTGTTTTTTAATTTATTATGTATTTCCCACTGTAAACAAAGCTGTTTTCCTTAAAGATGTGAGGAAATATTTGCAGAATAGGTTTTAGTATCAGTTACTTTTTAGTAAATGCTATTCAATATGGAGCTTTCCACATATCTGAAGAATAGTGAGTGTTCCTTTAAAAAACAATCTGTTTGCATATTACTATTTCATTGTTTTTCCTTCTTGCCAGATTTCTTAGCCATTCAGAAATCTTAAGTATAGCAAAAATCTTAAGTAACTAAGTAAACTATAATCACAGCACCAATAAAAGTTACTTATTCCGAATCATTATGAATATGAACACATGGACAGGGAAACATGAGTGTATTTATTTCCAAAGTGTTTTATCCATCACATGTACATATGAGGTAATTAATCAAATATTAGAGATACAGAATTATAATCTAAGGTATGCAAAATGTGAAAGACATTTAATATATTTTCAATTCTATTTTTGTTACAAATTATTTTAATTTTGCACTTAACTCATTTGGATCAAATCATGGAAGGCTACATCTGGCATCTAAAATACAAATGATCAGGGCAGTCACAAAAGTATGTAGGGTGGCAAATTAATTTTTTTAGATTCTGCAAATTTATATTTTAGCTCTGAGTTCATATCTAATTCAGTATATAAATAGAGATGCAGTCATTTAAATAAAATATTTTCAAATGTCGTAATTTATATTTGAGACGTATTTGCACTATCAGTGCTAAAACATCCACACTCATACAGTATGTAGAAGTCATAAGCATATAATCTGCTTATAGTTTTTGTTTTGTTTTCTTGTTTGTGATGTTTCAAGATACTCAAAGGTACTCATCCTCAGAAATTTTTTAATTAATCAAATCAAATTCTTATAAATTAAGATGTATGCAAATACCTCCCTCCACCCCCCAACATCATTCTTACAAAACCGGCGTCATCTTTCAGGAATTTTTCACATTATCACTACATATAATTTCAGAAATAACAATCTACAGTGACATAAAATTGACAATGACTTCTTTTTAGCCACTCATACTCTTAGGTCATTTAAATAACTTTACACTTAATGTTTTTAGAGTAGTATTTAGCACGCTATTAAATAGTAATGCAATAGAAATAAATGTGTTACAAAGTGTAAAATAATGCATTGATTTTTTTTTCTTAAAATGGGGTTAAGAAAGCCTAGGGTTAAGAACCATGCGGACAAGAAGAGGAAATGGAGCTGTTGTGTGTCGTTGCCATGATGACGACTTCCTGTAGCTCACCTGATCTTCCATTACCCCCCACTTTGCTGGCCTAACAGGTTGAAACAGAAGCAAATGTGGAACCTGAGGTTTCCTGTGAGAACTTTCTTCCTGGCAGCGCCACTGACAGCTAACTCTTGAAAAATGAGTTATTTTTGCCAAAGTGACCAGAAAAATATTTGACTCTTTACAAAAGTCAGACCATTAGAGCCCGTTACCGACCCTTAGTCTACTCTATTGAGTGATCAGCTGAAGGGCTCGAAAGCCTGACTTTTCAAAAGTTACATAAAATAAGTCATTTTCTTTTTGATGTGATGCATGTCCTTTTGAAAATTCTTACTGACCCAATAAGAGAGTTCTGGTCATAGTGAAAAAGCACTCTAGAACTACAGAAAAGTTTTCATCAGAAATTCGTCACATAAATTACTCAATAAAAAACATCCAGAATCATCAAAGGATGTCTTTAAAATAAAGCAAAACATAATTTTCAGAGACTGCTTTGGCATGCCAAGTCAAGTTTGACACATTATTATAGGACAATGATTCATCAACATAGAGGATCACTGCATTTGCTTTTTATCCATTCCTTCATTCTAAGAACTAACATGATAAATGAACTTTGTAAATTTGCAGGATAGTTTATTTGAATGGGAATCATTTTGGCACTTTTTTTATGATTTGATATAACCTAAGTAATCTTCTCTAAGTGCAAAATTTAGAAGTGTCATTCCTGTGGAAATGAGCAAATTATACATAAATCACAGGAAAGGAAAATGCCACCATTTTTCTGCCTTTAAGTTGGATTATAATTAAATTATTTCAGAGAGTTTGCCATCAATTTTAGTTTTAAATATGTCTAGTAGAGTATGATTTCTTTTCATAAAGAAATAATACCAACACATGCATAAACATGCAGAGTTGCAGTGTACAGCTTTAAATTTTTTCCCATTTGCTAAGAATTGGGCCTTTAAAAAAATCATGTTTATGCCTCTCTTCAATAACCAAATGATATTTTCCACACCATTTATCAGTAGTGCTTACTAAGTATTGCTTTTGATGGTAGAATAAATTTATAGATATTATAGTTATAAAGAAGATGTTGTAAAACTATTGATAATTGAAGAAAGAAACATTTGGATGATATATTTGACTCAGTATTATGTAGCTACTAACACAACATCAGCAAAAAATGTCAAATCTAATATAACTGCATCTTCATTTTCTAGAGTAAGCAACGGCTAAAAAGATTTTTAACAAGTAAAAAACAAAATAATATCTCCATAGTGGAACTTGACAACAAAAAAAGCAAATGTTCTAATCAGTTCTGGCAGTAGAATTCTGCCTTTATGTTGGATTATATTTTATATATATTATAATGTTGGTAATAGAAATAATGCTACTTCTAACATTTTTGTTGTTTAATATGAAATCAGCTCACCAGATATGATTTATGTGGTAGAAATAATTAACTGATAGTGTTTTATGTGATCCAACATCCTGTCTTCAGATGAGAAATACTTCATTTTGTGTAACTCTAAGATGGTGGATTTTCCATTCTTTGCATATAGGTAACTTTTGTCAAACTGTAATAATTTATTTCATGGTTCATGAATTCTACAGACATATAACTTATGTATGAGTCTTCTCTTAAAGATACTACTTCAGAAATGCTTTGCTTAACTTACTACTCTTTTACTTATTATCAGTATCAAAAACATTGTGTACTGGTTTCATACTAAGTATAAGTAAAGGCTGCTAATTTATTAGGACTGGGCAAAAAACAAGGAAAGGTGCCCACCCACTCTACTTCCCAATTCTGGTTCTGTAGAATGATGAAGCATACGACACTGTGATCTTCAAACTGTGAACTCCACACACACACACGACAAGCACACAAACACAAGAGGTCTGGAATGAATCCAATGTTCTGTTTGTTTAGCACTGTATTTTTTTTTTTTGTAGGATTGCTTCCATTCATAAAAGTAAGACTAAATGAGATTCAAGTAATTGTAAAGTTAGGATCGACTTGGGAAAAATTCACAAATAAGTCCATCCTCCTAAGTGAAATATAGATGTGATATATCTTTAGTATTCTATATAGCCTTTATGATATATAATATATATTAGATCTTACACATGTATTATATATTTTATATATAAATATGCACAGATAATTGTGTGTTTACATCAGGTATATAAATGTGGATCAATAGTATCAAATCAATTCTCTGTTCTGCACACTATCAGATCAGAGGAAAAGAAAGATACATGTTACACTTCTAGCATTAGTCTTAACTTAAAAAAAGAATCGTATATTCAAACTAAAATTTTTGAAAACCAGCAACAGAAAGTAACTTATTCTGTGTAGTGCTCTATTTTTGACAAACTCACAATAAACATCTTCTTAATGTTTAAACACTAAAAGCTTTCCTGTGTAAGGACATTAGAAAAATGAGAATTTTGGAATTGCACACAAGCATGTCACGTGCTGATTTTTAAGGCAATGTATACAGATGTTGAAAAGTTATGCTGTACATCTAAAATATGTATAACATTATGAACCAATGTTGCTTCAGTAACAATTTAAAAATCATCATAATTCTGAAGATTTGAAGATTTCTTTCAAGTTTTTTTTTTTTAAACAGTGTGCCTAACACTGATCTAAATATGCCATAAATTGTAGGAATGCATATGAAATATCAGGCTGTCAAGTGCTTAAGGAATGCACCCAAATTTGTATGTACCTGGTGTGTAGGGAAATCACAAGGAAAACACAAGAGGAAAAATTATAAGCTTTGCTTTAAAAGCAGTGAATAATTGGCAGAAGAATTAATTCAGTAGCTAATATTATAAAGTAAATATTCTAGAAAATTCAAAGATAGGTTTAGCCAGAGAAACCATGTGTTCACAACTACATAAGCAATTAGCTGAATAGGAGGTAGAGATTGGTTGCCTAATTAACTACCCTCCATACATTAACTTGGAAATGGTTTACATTCGGCTGCTGTCTGTGATAATGTTTTAAAGTTATTATGCAAATGCATTTGTCCCCGGGCACGTCATACTTCTCCCCAACTCTGGCCCTTCTCAACCTCTTGTATTCGTTCAGGTTTAGCTTTTTATCTGTTCTATTATTCTGACAAGTCTTTACCCCAGCTATCATCTGTAACTGGCCTTTGTGACTCCCTTTCTCTCATTAGCTTGTATAATCTCGCTTTGTTGTCCCTGCTTTCCTTTTTAGGGGTTAACATTAGGATCTGATTGAGTTACAAGGACGGCTAACAAGGGAATGCATGAAGAATCCTTTGTGGTGCGAGGGACAGAATAGATGATTTATTAGTATCCTGGCTATGTGATCAAGTAACCCACTAATTCTCAGGAACCCAAGCCACAAATATTCGATGAGCATCAATATGAGTACAGTCACCAGTGCT